AATTATCTCCAAAGTTGGAGTGTATTCATGTGGAAACTGTACTAAATAGGTTTTGAAATGTCTGTAATTTGACTTTTCCATCCTAGTCCTTATGTTAAAGAACACATGAAGTACTAACAAGGCCGCCATCTGCTGCCATCTACTGGACAATCAACACATTGTATTTGTAATGCAATTAATTAACAAGCTCTGTTCATTTACTGTCACTTCCACAGATCTTCTTCTTCTTCAAACACCATTATTGCATTCTTCACTCTGACATGTCAACATATCTACTCTAACCTGAGCACACTGGGTTCTCTCAAGAGGATTTTAACACAGCAAACATTTGTCTTGCAGCGAAAACACAAGACAAAAACTTTTTCCCAGTCCTCAAGAATTTCTGTTTGTAAAAAAAATACAGATTTTTGACGTAGAATAAAGCCATTTGCACGGTACATTACTCTGCAGGCACACTGGAATTCTCTGTGCATTTTCTCAAGTCAGCTTTATATAGAGTAAAAAAATGAAATAAAAATAAAAATAGAATAGAATAAAATAATTAAAAATAAAAGCAGCAGCAGCAATAATAATTGTAAAAAAAAAATACACATATAATTATAAAAAATAAAATAAGGGCACTTTTTTTTAAAAGTGTTAAAAATAGATAACATGAGAAGGTAATTGCACATATTTTATAATATACAAGTTTTATTGCACTTGTTAATTTGTAATACAGTGAAATGGCCATAGTCATATTAAATATTTTGGCCTTTGCTATTTTTTTTAAATATATCATTTTCAGGATGAACCTGTAATTGAATACTTTTCTGTAAAAAATAAAATAAAATAAAATAAAAATCTGTTAAACAATCAATTATGTAAAAACATTTTTTTTTAAATGTGGGTGCTCATATGTCATAGAAGCCCATTGATTTTTACATTCATATAAATGTTAATGGGAAGAAAAAATCGCTCTATAAAATATAAACTGGACTGTAAATGACATAAACTGATCAATATTGATCAATAGTTAACAAAGATTTTAAATAAACGTGTCCCTGAAGTGTTCATTTGCGTTATTTTTCCTGTTTGTTTTATGTTTTATCCCTTTAAATCTTTAATGTAGCACTTTGAGAAATGAAAAGTGAATTTATTTATTAATTACATATAAAACTCATTATGATTGTGACTCCGGCAGCGTGCAGTGAGCCTGGAGCACCGGCAGGGGGCGGTGTTGGCGCCGCCGGAGCGGCGTTAACCTTTCACGCCGGCCCGACTCCTTCCTCTTCCCGTTACGGCGACAGCAGGTATGGCGGCTCCTGCTTTCCTCCGAAACATTATGCGTCTATAATCGACCGTAATCCTTCGTTTTAGAGGCAAATGTGGCCGATTTCAAGTGGCGATGGAAGTCATATTTAGTTATTCTTTCTAACGATGTGATTATTTTAAGACTTGATCAGTTTTGGGCGACATTTTTAAGATGGCTACTCTGAGTGGTGAAGAGGCCGCTAGCTTAACAAGCTAACTGGCGGCTGTGGATAAGTTAACAGCGTTTAAATTCATACGTAGCATTGAAGCCAGCCACATTTTTACGTTGCTTGTTAATTAAACCAACAAATTCGGTTTCGACTTAGTTGGCTACCGTTACTGTTATCTAGCACCACAAGCTAATATTGTTAGCATGCTAGCATGGCTCCTCACGTTTCATTGATTTCTTGTCTGTTTCCAGCTTCAACATGGTGCAGCGCCTGACTTACCGCCGTAGGCTGTCCTACAACACCGCCTCCAACAAAACCAGACTGTAAGTGAGCTTTCTTCGGTGTCTGTTGAGTTGCAGGAGCTGTTAGCATCCCTGCAGTTGTGACTAGCTGATGGTGCTCTTTCCAGTATCATGTGCCTGCAGGTAGGAGCCCATGTAGGACCCCTGGTCTTCTTAAGCTTTTTTGGGGCCAGAAAATAATGGCAACTGCTTGTTTCCTCCAATGGGAAGCTAGGTTTTTGTTGGTTTAGCCTTCATACTCTGGCATAAAACGACTGTGCAGTTGTGGATGAAATAAACATTCAAAGGCATAACTTGTTTGCTGGAAGGTATTTAGGTTGACGGAACCTCCAACAACATATCTGCGTAGGCAATCATTTAATTGGCCAGGTGGTGTTTCTGCAGTAAAGTTAATAAAACGGGGGTCCTACATCTGTGGTCCTGAAGCTGCTGCCTCATGTGCTACAGTCACATAACAATGACTCTCTCTGTCCGTGCAGGTCCCGGACTCCTGGTAACCGCATCGTGTACCTGTACACCAAGAAGGTCGGCAAAGCCCCCAAGTCGTCATGCGGCATCTACCCAGGAAGACTGCGTGGAGTAAGTAGATGTGTTGGACCTTGGTGATGGTGCTTTGGTTTTCCCTCTGTGTGTGTGTGGTCAGTCTGCTCGTTGGCGAGGTCTGGAGGATGCTCATGGTGGTCTCAGTAGATACAGATATCACTAAACGACATTAGGAGCAGCACTGGATAAATTGCTTTTCAATCAAATTTCAGTTAATGCAAAAGCCGCATTGTCCATTATGAAGTGGATCAAACTCAGTGGTTCAACAAATTCATGTGTGACTGTCACACTGTTGATGCCATCATATGTGGTAATGCTCCTATCGTGAATATTGATCTGGAGCTTGATGATACATAATATTGCAACATGGGTCAGAGTAGTCAGTGCTGTTAATTCACAGTTACTAGTTTGGGAAGAAGAACAAGTTTTGAACTAGTAAACCCAAGTTAGTGTTCTGCATGTGGTTACTCACTGAATAAATGAGGTGGGATGATCCTGCACAACCCTTTGCTTCGTTTGCTGCAGCTACAGCACAGTTTTTTGTAGTTTGTTGTCTTAAAAAGATCAGATTATTTTTAGGTTTGAGCTTCAGACGACTTTTCTGACTGTTCAGCAGGTCGCATGTGTTGCTGGTGTTGCTCTTTATTCCTGAAGTTGAGTCCTAAAACTGTCTCGTCTCTATTCAGTAACCACTTTTTAATTTGCTCCTGTTGTAGTGCTCAGTTTACTTTAGGTTCTGCTGTTACGAGAACACGTCAATACTTTACTTACTGACGGCGGATGCTGCTAATTGTACGGCCAGCGTACTTGAGGGACACGAATCCAACTGCCAGGAGTGAAGGGTTTTTTCACATTTGCTGAACCATGTAGGAAACTTAAAATTAAGAAATTAATTTGGAGATTCATGTTTAGCAGCAAAGAAGTGCCACAACATCAGTCGGAGGATATTGAATTTTGATTTCTAGTCATAGAGGACATGGGGAATAAAAAGTTTAGTTCTGTCATTTAGATTGGCTTGTGATTTATTATTGTTTTTCTAAACTCAACATATTAATCCAGCGACTGTAAATACAACTGAATGAAGGCCAGAGTTGTTTCAGCAGAATCAGGGAGCATCGTTAGACTTTGTGGAGAGCTGCTCATTAGTGATTATGAACCGGTTTGCTCACCTCAATATGTGGGTCACCATCGTCGTCTTGTGCTTGCGTACAGGGGTTCCTTAGGCGTCAGACCAGAACATGCAGACCCAAGTAGGAAAGACCTGAATAAGATCAGAAGAAGAGGGAAGTTTAGTTGTAGTGAATTTCTCAAAATTTGGATATTGCATGGTGCACTGAAACACTTGTGAACATTTCAATTTTGTCAACACTCTGATGACAGACGAAGTATTTCAGGCAGGTGTCTTTTTTTTTCATCTAAGAGCCTCCAGACCAGAAGTTGGTTGTTTTGTTGCACGGTTCTTCACGCCACTACTTGCTGCCTGCTCTGTTCTCATCGTCACTGTTTGTTTCTCCAGATCCGTGCTGTTAGACCTCAGGTTCTGATGAGGCTCTCCAAGACCAAGAAGCGCGTGAGCAGGGCCTATGGTGGATCCATGTGCGCCAAGTCTGTGCGCGACAGGTAAGAGATCTCCTGACTCGTCTTGCTGAGAACCAGGACTGATGCCAGTATTTGCCTGGATTCTGTCCAAACTTCAGATTGGAAACACTGAAAATACCCTAAGTAGTTTTAAATGGTTCATGCATTATGTCTAAATTGTCTCTTTTGCTTTTGTTCTCAGGATCAAGCGTGCTTTCCTGATTGAGGAGCAGAAGATCGTTGTCAAAGTGCTGAAGGCACAGGCACAGAGCCAGAAATCTAAGTAACATGTGTATTTGTAATGCCACAATAAAAAATGACAAACAAATCCATCTGTCTGTTGTGATTTACAATCTACATCACTGGGGGTTATCATCGAAAGTCTTTCAAGTGAGAAGCTAGGATTTATTGCAGACAAATGCCACAACGAGATAACACAATTAGCATTGGGTTTTTTTCTTCAATTTAATTTACAACATGGTTTACAGTGGTAGCTTCAGAGTTGCATTGCTTTCTAAGAGGGTTGTTTCAAACCAAAATATTTACATTTTCTGTTGGTTTTGGTAACATTTGAAGAGGAAAATTTGGGTCTTTTAGGAGATACTGGAAAAGGACTAATTTGAAATATGATTAGATAGCATAATGTCAATAAAACCTGCAGAGAAAGGGGAAAAGCAAGGTTATTGTTCAATAAAGCAGACATGAATGAGCAAATAAGATGAAAAGCAACTGTAATCAATGGAGATAGATTTATTCTATAGAATAAAAATGACTATCGTGTTTAACACCATCATTACACTGAACCAAGTAAAAGCGAAATCTGAAACTGGTAAATTGGGGAATATAATGTCAGTAACTTTAAAAATACTGTTGGTATGGACTTTTACAAATAGGTACTGTCTCTTTAAGACGACGTCATTCACAGCTGACTGTTACGTCCAGAACGATTTACAAATAAAATTTATATAAACATAAATAAAATATTTTTAGCTTAAAAATAATTTACGGTGACATTGTTGCATAGATTTTTTATTTTTTTTAATACTTAAAACCAATGCACGGCTGAAAAAAACAAAACAAAACAAAGACACAAACCCATGAACCCATGTAGTTCCGGGACACGTCAACGAAGTTTCTGCGCAGACGCACTTCAGGCAGCGGCAGCAGTCGTAGCACATATTTGCGTCCGACATGGAGACTTTATACAGTATACCGTTTGCTGTGTTGGAATGCCCGAATATAAAACTGAAGAAGCCGTCATGGCTGCACATGCCGTCTGCTATGACCGTGTACGCGGTCGTTATTGTGTCCTACTTTCTCATCACAGGAGGTAAATGGGGCTGCTAAGCTAACATTGGAGCAAGACAGCTAGCCAGTCAGTGCTAAAGCTATGTTGTAGCATTTAGTGGTAATGCTCATTTATTTGCTATTACATGTTGGTAGATATTGTAGGTTTTTGGCTGCATTTTTAAATACCTGCGAATGAAGCTAGTAAGTACACTGATAACCATACAAGAGGGGAGGCTAACTTACAAGCTAAGCTAGGTCCTCAAACTAACTGAATGTATATCTTAGATTTTTTCTTTATTGGCCTGGTGAATATTAGCTGCCTTCAATAAGTTCACACACAGCTTACACTTGCAGCCATTTAGTATTTTAAGACTTGCAGGATCATTAACATCTTCTAAGTCATTGCTTAAAGCATATCTCTGTGAAACAGTCTTCCTGTGCAAAACGTTGTCTTGCTTTGTCTGTTAAAAGGTGTTATTATTGTAGTCATATGATGTGTTTTTTTTTTTTTTTTCGTTCACCCACTCAGGTATCATCTATGATGTTATCGTGGAACCTCCCAGTGTGGGTTCAATGACTGATGAGCATGGACACCAGCGGCCAGTTGCCTTTTTGGCGTACAGGTAAGATAGTCTTCATTAGGTCGACTGATATAGTTACATCAGAGCTGATAAAATATCAATCAACTAGAACGATAAGTGGGTCAGGTCAGTTTTATTTATGATTCACAACATATTAAAGCACTTCACACAGCAAGTTGAAGATCTGACGAAATCAAAGAGACCCAACAAATCCAAAGATTCATGTGGATCACCTTTGAGCAAGAAAACTGGCAAAGTTTAATACAAGAACATTTTTGAATCAGGACACACAAAGTAGGGACATCTGATGGCAGCAGATAAATGTACGGAGAGAGGAGGAGATGATAGTAGAGGAGAGGTGCTCAGTGCATCACAGGAAGCCCTCCAGTAGTCTAGACCCACAGCAGCTTAACTAAAGTATGGATCAGGGTCATCTGAGCCCCCCATTCATAGCAGCTTTATCAAAGAAGAAAGTCTTAAAGGTAGAGGGGATGTCTGTCCCTTGAACCCAAACTAAGAGCTTGTTCTGCAGCAGAGGAGCCTGACGACCAAAAGCTCTCACTCTGCTTTAAGTAACACAAATAGGACTCCACCCTGAGAGCAAAGATCTTTAAAATGCGATGGAGCTTTGTGTGTCAGAAGAATCATTTCAAATTCGGAAAGTTACAGTGAGACAATGCAGAGAAGCTACTGTGGGAGAAGCTGATCTACGTTTTGTTTATTTGTGTTTTACATATTTTACAACATCTATCTATCAAATGCTGTTAGCGGGACAGTGATGGAGCCCAAAGAGTGAAGACGATAGACAGAAAGAGACAGTTGCATGAGAGCCAAACTTGCACATTTTTAAATAAATCAGTCAGAAATTAGTTAAAAATAACAATACAGATAATAAAAAATACTGAATATCAGTGCGATAGTTGGTAACGAGTCGAGCCCTCGTCATAATGTTGCCAACAAATCAAAGTTACTCGTGACTAATTCAGACAAACGTGTTCTCCAGAGTGAATGGCCAGTACATCATGGAAGGGCTGGCCTCCAGCTTCCTCTTCACCATGGGAGGTCTGGGCTTCATCATCCTGGACCGCTCCAATGCGCCAAACATTCCCAAGCTCAACCGATTCCTGCTGCTCTTCATCGGGTTCGTCAGCGTTCTGCTCAGCTTCTTCATGGCCCGAGTGTTCATGCGCATGAAGCTGCCGTAAGTCGAAGCTTTTTGTCTTCTTACACGCTTGTCCAAATGGCGGATAACAGTCTGCGTTTCTGCTAAATTTAACTGGATTTATTTGTCTTTTCAGGGGATACCTCATGGGTTAAAGACACAGCGTTTAAACCAACAGCTCTGGACGGATGGACGGAGGCCTACATGCAGTAAAACGATGGATACCGTCGAACCCTCATTGAATAAATCATGTAGGACTGAAAGCACTGACCTTGCTTAAGAAATTAGACCAGGCTGCACCGACAGTCACATTGTCTCCTCAGTGTTTTGCGACTTCCTTTCCCACCTTTTCTCAGTTACTGAAACTGATGCAGATGTGGCACCGTCACGTAATTATGATAAACTCTGTCATGTTTCTTCTTGATAAACATCCAGAAGCACTATGAAGTCGGTGTCTCAAACACAGGGAGGGGGGAAGAGGAAGGAAAGGAAGTTCAACACTTTTTTGGAATCACGATTAGCGCTGAATCATTTAAATGGACGTCTGATGTTTAGGTTGTACGTTTTTGTATAGACATTGTTAAAAAAAAGAAAAACCTCAAACCTGTCACAGTTGCATTTTTGTACAAGGCTGTGAAATAAATCTTTCTTTTCACACCTCCTTGCAGTCGTCGTGTGTGTTAATCCTGTTGAAATGGTGAATGAATACCTCAAAGTGCTCTAATTTGTCCAGGACAGTTTTGTTTTTTTTTTAAAAATTCTTGTCAACCAAAATTCAAAAGCAACATGTTATTTCACTAAATTATAATTTAGAAAATTTTTATTTATTATTACTTTTTGTTTTGAGTAGCTTTTGTGAATTTTGCCTTTTCTTTAATGGAAGGGGATGAATACATTTGAGGACGTGTTCAGGAGATGTTAATTGTTGTAATGTCTCCACAAGGGGGCGCCATAGGTCTACCAGTCAGCACTAAAGTAAGGACTAAATAACGAGAGCCTCTGAATTGAAGAGTTTACACAGCGAAATGTTAACTGGACTGCAGAGATTTTAGATTTTGCTTCAGATTTTACTCTGAAATTTTAAAAATAGCATCAAATCTGCTGAGTTGGAACAATTTGGTTTCAGTTAAACGTAATGCCAGTTGGTTAATGCTAAAATACCAAATGCTGTCAACAGAATTTGGGTTTTGACACCTTTAATTTGCATCTCAAGGGGCAGAGGGGTCAGTATTATTTTTGCAGATAGATGATCAGTTTCTTCTACAACTTTATGGAGATGCATTAAAAAAAGCTAATAGGACAAGAGGTTCTGGTCACGACACCTCATGTTTCTTTGCATTTTGCTTCCACGTTCAGCTTCAAATTTTAAGGACACATTCCTCTTATAACCCTGAGAATGTTGATCAAAAATGAGAAACTAAGCAGTAGGACTGAATCACGATGCTTTAGGTCATCAGGGCCACAGATTTGAATCTCCTGAAGCTCTCAGCTGTCGCTCCTTCGAGCCAAACGCTTCACATTTATGGCAACCGCTAAAACTCGAGACGAATAAATTCATAAAGGAAGCATAACGTTGATTTATACGTCACATCAGAAGCAATAAAGAGGAAAAGGAAATACTGCATCTAGAGGAACACGAGGTGAAGCACTCCAACATGAAGCTGTGCCAAAGTGCTGCTGCTCTTCTCTCCTCTAGAGGATTTTTTTCTTCCTATATTCTGACTTACCAAATATTTCAATGGTTCCATTTATTGTGAAGGACCGAGCCAAACAGCAGGCAGCTCTCTGGTCCGTTGGTAAGAGGCTGAGTAACCTCTGCTCTGGGGTTTGAGCCAAATCTGTGTCTCCTGAGACCGAGAGAACATCTCCGTCTTTTATGAACGCCATAGATCACATTTATTTTTACTCTGCACAGCTTCTCTCCTGAAGTTTTGAGCTGTTTTCAGCTCCTGAACACTTGTAATTAAACGCAGACTAAGTAAAATAAAGATTTTCATACCTCCCAATGCATTTTGATGAACAACGGTTTAAAACTTCCCTTTTAAAATCAACCAGATACGATGAGAAACACACGTATTGCATCATTTTTAAAGCTAGATTTTATGGTTAAATTCACAAAAACACATTTCATAATCTCACATATACATAGTTTGATTTACTAAAATGAAAATCAGGTGAATATTGGACAAAATTTAAATAAAAATACACAAATCTTGCTGAATAATAAGTTGCAATTTTTTGGCACCAAGTCATAAAGTCTGAGAAAATGATTCCTAAATGTGATTTTAAAAGATAAAACCTGAGAATTCGCTGCAATCCCAGAGATGTGCAGCATCATTCGATTAAATGCTAAGGCACCTGTTTTCTTTAATCAGTTCTTTCCTGACACAGATCAAGAGTTTGTTCTTTGTTTCTTTATGTCTTGAGGCGTTTGGTTTGCTGGCTGCTTCCCCTGCTGCGTATTAAACCACCGTGACACTGGTGTCCGTTCTCATCAGCCGGCAGCTTGAGATGAAACAAATAAAATGAAAATCAGTGAACGGAGCAAACTGTGGGAATTGAATCTTTGTCCACAGTTGTGTTCCTGTGTGTGTGTGGAGACTCACGCTGACCTTTCTTTTGCTGCTGTCGGCGTTCAGCGCGTCATGCAGCTTCAGCGCCTCCTCCAGTTCTGCGAAGTCACACAAACACACAACTCAGAGCTCTGCTGCTGCTTCACACACTTTCAAGAAGGACGGAGAGGTTTTACCTGTAAGAATGAGGTCGATCTTCTCCACCACCAGGTCGGCGTCCTCCGTGGTGAAGCACAGCGGCGGCTTGAACTTGAGCACGTTGCGGTGAGGTCCGTCGGCGCTGAGGAGGATGTGCTGCTCCTTCAGCCTGGGACAAGACGTGGGTTTTGTAAAGCAACTTAAAGCACAGCAGCAGCAGCAGCTCTGAATGGAATCAGGCCTAATTAGAGTAATTAGTTACACCTGAGCTTCTCCAAACTGTCAGAGTGTTAAAAAAAAAAAGTGGTTTAATGAATCTTAAGCTTCATCCCACCAACAGATTTCACATGTAAGAGATGCAAGAGGCAAGAATTAGCTGCTGCAACGACGACCTGGTGGGAATAAATCACATTATCATGAATATAAGAATCAAACTAAAGTATTAACTGGTTCACTCTCTAGACATTAATTATGTATTAATGTCTTTTTATTTTTTGTATTTTAGGAAAGTTTAATCTGCATATTGTGCAAAACAAACAAACAAAACATTTCTTTCCAACCCAAATCAGCTTGTTTACAATCATTTGATTCTCCTCATTTCATTTTTACTCATTTAAACTAAACATTATTTCTCTTATATTTCAACATTTTTTTCCATCGCTGCCTAAAAACTACCACAGATGGATCATTTCATCTGAAATCATCACGTTTCTGGTGACATTTTAGAGCATGAAATATTGATATTTATAAATATATTTGTGAAATTCAAGCTTAATTTATCAAATACTGACAGACATTTTGGGTTTTTTTTAATCGCAGGTTTTTCTGCACATGGTGGTGTTTGGATGAAAATATCTGAAAATGTCATTTCTGTTCCATCAAAATGAACAAAATGCCCAAAATACGATTATTATCTTAGTTATCCAGATTGTTTTCTCCTGACTAGATCCTAGATGCTCTCAGATGTACGTCGCTTTGGACAAAAGCATCCATCCATCCATCATCTATACACCGCTTAATCCTCATTAGGGTCATGGGGGGCTGGAGTCTATCCCAGCCAACTTAGGGCGAAGGCAGGTTCACCTGGACAGGTCACCAGTCTATCACAGGGCTACACTTAGAGACAGACAACCAAGCACACTCACATTCACACCTACGGACAATTTAGAATCACCAATTAATCTCAACATGTTTTTGGACTGTGTGGGAGGAAACCGAAGAACCTGGAGAGAACCCATGCTGCACGGGGAGAACATGGAGACTCCACACAGACCTCACCAGGATGCGAACCGGCGACCTTCTTGCTGCGAGGCAACAGTGCTACCAACTGCGCCACCCTGCAGCCCTATAAAAGCATCTGCTCAATGAAACTGTAGAATCGTAGTTACATTTGGAGAACCACTGTTCAACCCCACAGCTCTGTTCCAGCTGGATGAGGTGATCTGACAACATTTTTGTGGTACAACTTAACTACACCTGCTCAATCAACTTTTGTTTTTTTAACCTTTGTGGCCACGTAGTTCATATTAAAAACTATGCTGTATGTTTTTTAAATCGGTGCTCAAAGATGACCTGAATTTTCATGTTGACTTTAATTCGTTTTCATATTTCAACTCACACATAATCAGACTATTTGATCTACTTGTACCATTTGTCATCGTTCTAGATCAATGATGAGAAATAGCAGCATTAAAATCAGACATTTATCTTTAATGGGTCCTGAAATAGTGTCACCTTAACACCGCCTCGAATTGGAACATGTGAAGAAATGTGCTTGAAGCGGGAGGACGGGACAAAAAATAAGAGTTTTCACAACTGGGGAGCACAAAGAAACCAACAAATCTTCCTCTTTGTGTGCAAAATGGGAACATCTGTGCTTTCCCACACACTGATGAGCCACTACTTCACCTCGTATAACAGAATAGAAACACTTTATTGTGAAATTAGGTGTTGATAGCAGTATATAGACATCGGTATATTTAAAAAAGCACGACTTCAAACTGAAGCAGGAGACGATGACAGGAAGTGACGAGCAACAAAACGACCGACAGACTCGCGAGGTGATCGTACGGCTCTGGAGTCTGCACCAGGACGAGGGTTGAATTATGCATCTGCTGTTAAATATATAAACTCCAGTCAGGAGCTGTGAAGGTTACACTTCATTATTCATGTCATTAATAAACCAGCTTTCAGGCAGATAGAAGGACTAATCATGTAAACGTCAGGGCAGAAGAACAGACAGTTAACCAACACAAGCACAGAGTTGATGAAGAAGACACCTTTATAATCTGAATTATGGTGTTTACAGTCTAAATAAACACAACGTTATAACCGGATTTTGAATGATTTCTTCACCAGAGCTCAGATTGTTCGATTATAATAATTATAAAAGGCTAAATATGTTCTTTTCTCAACAGTTTGTGTAATTTCAGCTCCAGTATCACGACGAAAATTTCACTTTTCAGGAGCAATATTTCCGTAATATCTCATTTTCCTGTGTGATGTCACCTCATCATCACTGCCAGCATCGGTTTTTAGTTTCTAATCTTATTTTTATCTCCTTTATTCTGTTTTCAGTTACGTCTATCTTCTTGTTTTTCTGCTGAGTGTTGCATTTTGTTGCTTTCTGACCCACATCTGGCACAAGAATCGCCCTCAGGATCAATCAGGTTTTATCTTATCTCTCTGCTCAATGCCTTCGCACTACGCAGGATTCGCTGTAATGAGCTCTTACTTTGCAGTGCAGAAGAGCGTAAAGTTTTATTATCTCCGTTTATCATCACAATTAAACCAACAGGGGATGTGAGATTAGCAGCTGTAATAGCAGAACGCTGCAGAGTAGATTTATGGTTGAATTCATACAACAGGATGCAGAGTTAACTTACTTATATATGACTTCTTGGGCCTCTGCTGTGGCCGGAGTGAGCTTCAGTCTGTCCCTCACCAGCTCCACCCCGACGAAGAGACCACAACCTCTGCAGGATGCGACACAAAGTTGAAAAAAATGTAGATATTTTCTTCAGCATTTGCTTTTAGAACAGAATCAGGGCTTCAGTGTGTGAGTCAGTAAATGTTTCACAGAACCAGGGACAGGAAGTGGAAACGTTTCACTGTCCAGGATTTACGGGGACGTGAGCAGCACGAATGAAAACCTGGAGTCTGTTGGACTGTAAGCGTCTGTTCACCTGATGTCTCCGATCAGCGGGTGCTTCTCCTTCTGCTTCTCCAGCAGGGCGCTCAGGTGTCGGCCGACTCGCAGCGCGTTGCCCTGAAGGTCCTCCTTCACGATCACGTCCAGCACGGCCAGGCCGACGGCACACGACACCGGGTTACCGCCGAACTGGAAAAAAAACAAGATTAGGGCCAGTTTTTTCTTTTAAAGTATTACTGAGCTGATTGAGGAACAAAAAGTGACTGAAAATACAGTCAGATGTATTCACACGCTTCCATTAAAGAAAAGGCAAAATCCACAAAAGTCACTCAAACAACTAGAAACTGAAAAAAGTAATAATAAATAAAAATTTGCTAAATTACAATTTAGTGAAATAACACATTTTTTCTTTTATTGTGGTTGAAAAAATAATTTAAAAAAATAAAAAAACACAGATTGAGAGTTACAGAAAACACTTGATTGCAGTGATTGTCTCAGAGGGTTGTTCAGCAAAATATTAGTTTTTGGGTCCCATTTTTTATTTTTAAAATTAAAAAAAAAATATTTCTGTTGAACCACAATTCAAAATCAATGCCATGATTCCCATAAAATTTTTATTTATTATTACTTTTGCTAACTTATTTCATCTGTTTCTTTCTCCAACAGGAGGCTGTGAATACATCTGACTCTACATCCAACATGATGTTTTTTTTCATTCATGGGAAACAACTGCAACACGAGACGGTCGATGAGGGGAAAAAAAAAAAAAAAGCCGCCTTGAACGGAATGTCTTTTCCCCCGTAATGTGGAAAACAGATGTGTCGATACGCTCGGCAAATATGGACACGGACGTCATGTCAAGGATGAGGTGGAGTCGAGGCCACTGCTGGTCAGTGACACCATGTGACCTCTGCAAGCTGCCTTTGTAGGTTTTAAAGAAATACTAATTTAAGAACTGCACCGCTGTCCTCCTTCATTCTGCACCATGCTCTTACCGTATTGAAGTACTCCATTCCAGACGACATGAAGGCCTCCGCCACCTCCCTGGTCGTCACCACGCAGGACATGGGGTGGCCGTTGCCGATGGGTTTTCCCATCGTGACGATATCCGGCACAAAGTCGTCTCCTTGGAGCTGGAAGGCCCAGAAGTTTGTGCCAACTCGGCCAAAGCCAACCTGGACTTCGTCGGCGATGAAGACGCCTCCTGCTTTACGGACATGTCTGCAGAGGGGCAGAAACTCTCAGGATGGAGCACCAAACACCATCAATCATCAAAGCACAGCTGCTACAAAAATCTTTTCCTATACAAGCATTTCTTTTTCTTGCCAAAAGCAAACTTGTGCACATTCTGCACATGTCTGACATACTTCTGCTCCTCACCAGCGGGTTGTAAAAACACTTTCTCTCATCGAGTACCAACATGAATCTTTGCTACTCACTCTGCCACTTGCTGGAAATAACCGGCGGGGGGAATGACCTGACCGCCGCAACTCTGCAATGACTCGGCAATAAACGCAGCAATCTGCACGAGAGGAAAAACAGAGCGGCTCTATCAATGTAGAGCCCGGCTGCAAAATAAAAAAACCCTCCCAAAAAAAAGGTAGTGGGGAAGGTGTCCCAGCATCTTTGACCTGTTCATCGCTTCACTGTGCAGCTGAAAAAAAACACGAAGCGCTTGCACAGACATGAACGTTACCGTCGGTCACTGACGGGAGGAAATCTGTTGACTGACAGGAAAGAAAAAAAGCTGCACAACCTGCAGCACAGCATCACATACACACTTCCACAGGTGATTCGTATAATTATCTGAGCTGAAATCATCCGTCATTGGCTCTGGAGACGCTCCATAATCAAGGATCTGGGATCTGACCCTAAAAGTCTTCGTCCTGAACCTGAGGATGAGGAGAAGAAAGGATGGGTGGAAGATCTAGTGATTAATAAAAGTGTGTGCGACTTCCAGGCAGCATGAAAACAGTGGTTTTTGCATGTAAAATGAAAAAGCAAATCCCCATGTAGTGGTCGTTCTCAACCCTGTAAAGCCTGAACTGGGAAATAATTGCCTAATTTTTTTAACTGGAGTGTTTATTAGACCTTAAAATTTAAAAAAAGTGCATATATGGGTTTTATTTTGTATCATTTTTGCTACATCTGGCATCTTTGGTGCATGAATTTGCTCTCAGAAGCTCGTTTGGCGTTACAGGGTTAAAGAAAAGTGACACTTGGTGCTCACACCTCCAGCGGTATCTGATAACTCCTATCAGACTCAAAGCGTACCTTGCCGTCTTTCTTGTGGACTTTGTCGATTATCTTCTTGACTTCGTCCGCGTACGCCGTGGCCGGATCGGGGTGGTCCGCTCGGTATCGGCCTCGGTACACGTCTGGGCTGGGAGCCTGTTGGCGGGTTGTGAGGGAGATCGGAGTCACAAATCCTCAATTAGAGTTAAATTTAAAAGAGTTCTGAGAGGAAAACGTCACTGGAGATGCTCATAGTTGGAAGCAAGTTCATGTTCTTCTCACTGTATCCATTAAATCTTTTCAAAACTCAGATAAGTGCACAACTGTTCTAGTTTGATATATAAAGAAAACAGATTTCTTCTTCATTTTAACATGAAAAAAAGTATTTAAATATTTATTCTGGAGCCTCAAAAGTGTTCGAAAATACAATCAGGTTCTCACAATTAAACAAGCTTTGGTTTGAACATTTAAAAAAAACCTGATCAGCCTGCAAACTGATTCCTGAGTGTCTGCGATCATGAATTAAATATGAAAGCAAACAGAAGCGTTCCACCTTTGACATGCAACAGGAGACCAGTGTTCTCAAAGCTGCACCACTGAGACCTGAGCTCAGACCAATAAAGGTCCTGCAGCTGTATTTTAAGCTCATCGCGACACTGGTTTCAGTATTCAGATGAGTTTATGGCTGCAAAACATCCTCATTGGTGTATTTTTTTGGAAATAGAAAAACAGCAAAATGCAGTTTAGTTCAATTTAAAGGTGAACTGCATTAATATAATAAATGATTTATATGACTTGCAGCAGGGCTGCAAGGTGGTTCAGTGGTTAGCATCGTTGCCTCGCAGCAAGAAGGTCGCCGGTTCGCATCCCAGTGAAGACACCCGGGATCATTCTGCGTGGAGTTGCATGTTCTCCCTGTGCAGCGCTGGTTCTCTCTGGGTTCTCCATGTTGTCATCGCTGCCTGCAGCAAAATCTTCACCACTGTCAAAATAGACTTTCAGTGTCGTCGTTTTCCTCTTCATCATGTTCTTCTGCTTCAAGTTCGTCTTCCTCCTCATTCTTGGGTTTCTTTTCAGGCTCTTCACCAGAACTTTCAGGGTTTGCATCATCTTTCTTTGCCAGGGCGTCCAACTTCTTCAGCATGTCCTCTGTGTCTCTGCGTGATATCTTCACTGTTTTCTTCTCGGTGCCTGCTTTAGCACGAGGTGTTTAAATTTGTGGCATCAGTTGTTTTGGAAAGAGGTTCCAGTCTGGAGCCCATTCTTCATCCAAAAGCTGACTTTGCTTCAGGTATCTTCAGGTATCGCTCAGTCCCCGGACTTCACCCTGAGTCAGCCGGGATAGACTCCAGCCCCCAGCGACTCCAGTGAGGATTAAGCGGTGTATAGATGATGGATGGATGGTTCCCTTATATTTCTTGAATGTAACATGTGAGCTCCTGGATGACTTGAATTTCTCCAATGGGATGAATAATCTGTCTATCTATCTATCTATCTATCTATCTATCTATCTATCTATCTATCTATCTATCTATCGACTAAAACAAGACATTTTTCCACATAAATCCTCTTAAACTCCTAAAATTTGTCACATTTTCCACTGATTTCTTATGTTCTGCAAACTACAAATCCATCTTCATCTCTGTTTCTTTGAATCTGACAACATCCTGCCATATTTGTGCAGCACAATCAGCTGCTGGTGTGTATTTTTTCCTGCTCTTGGGCTGCTTGGTTAATAATACACAGCTACAACTTGTGCGTCCGACACCGACGGCGCACCTTGCACCCTGTCCAATGCTCCATTCATTCTCTCGTCTCTCATTCAGCCGCCTGCCAAAACCCGGCGGGGCGAGCTGACTCACGGCCTTTTAATAAGGCAGCGGGGGAGGCAAACACACTCACCACGTGCACAAATGGGCTCAGCTCGGCGTCCGCCAGCTGCTGGAACTTATACGGGCTGATGTCGATGAGCGACGTGACGTGTCCGTGGTAGGCGCTGCGAGAAAACAGATCAGCCTGGATCAGAGATACGAAGATGCTCCTTATCGCCGACTGTGTTTTTCTGAACTCTGGCCACCTACTTTTCCAGCGTGATGATGTCTTTGTGGCCGCTGTACTGCCTCGCCAGCCGCAGCGCCAGGTCGTTGGCTTCGGAGCTGAAGTTCAAAAGGATCAAGGGTTACTTTGAGTTACTCAGTCACCACAAAACACACAGGATGTCACCGGGAGACTGTCTCGGCCTCCAGCGTGGGGACGTGTGAGGCTATGGCATGTTGGCGTAGTCATGCATCTGAAACATGTGCAGCTGCTTCCTACTTGAACGAACCGGTTCCCACTTATTTACTAGATAAGCCTTTAAGTCAGACACCAGTGCTGGATTTCTCTGAGCAGCTAACTCGGGGAATCCAAACCAGACGTATGACGGCGTCCAGATGGCTCCGTATTATATGATTTCCTCTTTGTCTTCTATCTATCTAAGTGCACTTTCGTACAGACGGTTAGTCCTCCCTCTGTTTTCTCTCCAGGTTTATCTGAGCGTATATGGATTATTATCTGCCACTATATTGCCCCGGACCAGATAATTCCTGTACACACTGCAGAGGTGCAGCAACAGGGGGGTAAATGAGTAACCACTGGGAGGTTATTGGGAGGCAAACGGAGCTGAATGTGCATTATTTCTTCCAGTGTTTCTAATTTGACTTGAACATTCAGGGGCTGCTTCGAGGAAACTGTGCTTCCAGCTCGCCCGACTGCAGCCCTGTCTTATAATCTCCTGTGCTTTTCTGCAGAACCCTGTTGCTCCGAGGCACCTGTCAATCCAGTGCACAGTTTGTGGGTCTGGCTGAGCTTTCTTGACGCCGTTTTTCTCGTTTGGACAGTGTGACGTGCAAACATACCCCGAGTTGACAAAGTAGCACACCGACAGCTTGTCAGGCAGCGTGGCCTGCAGCTTCTGGGCGTACACGACCAGGTTGTCGTGCAAGAAACGAGTGTTGGTGTTGAGCAGTTCCATCTGCTGAGCTCCCGCCTTCACCACATCTGGGTGACAGTGGCCCACTGAGAAAAGCAAGAAAGTTGGAACAATTGGAGGCTGAAGTGAAACGAAAGGTCAGAGAGTTTACATTCCTGCAGCCTGCAAGTCGTGCAGCTTCCTAAGCCTCGCGTACCTTTTACCTGTCGGCGCATCGGTGCAGTCTGTCAAGTCATTCTAGTTATGCATTCCAGCGACACCTCTGCAGGCGACACAGAACGAGTCTCTTGTGTTTTGTTGTTGACTTTCTTACCGTGAGCCACGTTGTTGATGCAGTCCAGGTAGCGCTGGCCCGTCTCGTCATACATGTACTGGCCCCTGGCTCGGATGATCTTGATGGGGTCATGGCTGAAGAAGATCTTACAAGACGGTCTGCAGTGGAGCAAAAACTAGGAGTGGCAAGTGTGCAGAGTGTGTCTTTACTCTGGTCATATGGTGGGTTCGTGTCATGATGTCATGAGTGGACACAGACATGAAGTAATGCTGCAGCAGGAATAGGTGCAATAATGAACTAGTAATGTTCATATAATGTCGCTTTAACAACTTAAACAACGTTATAAGTGTCTATGGAAGAATAACTTTAGAGGTTTACATAAGGATTTTATGTCTTTGTTTCTTTTCTTTTTTAAATCAATAAACTGACTAAAACTACTCGTGAGAGCAGACTTCCTGTTGTCTTACCCGATGTGCCTTTTCCTCAGGTCTATCGTCTTCTTCTTGTCCAGCTTTTCATCGGACATCTTGATGTGCTTCAGCTGGAAGACGCTCGACGCTCCTCCGCTCCAGACGCGGCCAACCGGCTTTATAGCGCAGCTCCCCGCTATGGAATCCCAACGAGGCCAAAATTGCGCAAAAATTTACATGCCAGAAAAACTTGTTTGCACATTTTTTTTGCATGTCAGTTACACTCAAATGAACTTGTTGAGACTTACTATGATCAATATTTGTGTTGTTTTGTTTGGATGTTGTATGTGTCCAGAAAATCTGGAAAATTAAAAACAAAATGCGATTTAAAAAAAATTTTTTTTAACGCTGCGTCCTGTAAAAATGCAGTTGCTGGGTGTCACTGTGAAGTGTTGAAATTTGTGCTCTCATTTACAATGGTTGTTTATTTTTGAGTTACTCTATAGGAAATGAATGTACTCCCGTATTCAATATGGTGTAGTTGTTTTCATGTGTATGGGTATTATAAGTTATACATCCTATTTCATGTGATGTGAATAACTACAAGAATGTCGTAAAATGATTCTTTTTGACTATACTGCACTTTACGTTAACCCGGCGTACGTTTTTAAAATTATTTTTTACCCCCAGCAGGAAGCTAATGCAAAAGCTACTGACATTCTCTCCCGGTGCTGTAAAGAAATAAATACAAACATGGATGCCGAAGCTGGAAACGCAACAGTTACAGACTGCATAACTTGTTTCTTGTCTCAAACGTTTTCAGGAACACATTTCGCTCATCTGTAATAAAAGGTAAAGTGTCCTAGCGAGCCGCCATCTTGGTCCATTTCAACCCCCTCCAGCTGTGCGGACGTTTCTCCATCTGATTGGACGATGCTTCACTCGGAGGCTTTCTGCTCCTGGATTTCAAATCAGACCAACAATCAGAAACTTTCTCTTTGATATTTTTTGCGTGTACTTTGCTCGTCGAATTGACTTTTCAAACAAGAAATAGTTGCTCTGATTAATCATTTTCTGTAAAGCAACACAGCTTAGCAAAGATCATTAGCAATGTTCTGGTATTAGTATTATTATTAATGTTATTATTAGGGTCCGAGCACCCAAAAGGGTGCGAAGACCCTATTGGAACTGCTCGGATTATTATTATTATTCCCAACAAAGAAACGCGTTTTCGAGGCCCTAAACATACTCGAAAACTCACCAAAATTACCATGTACATCAGACCCGGTGAAAAATTTTATAATTTGGAAGAACAATACACACCTCAATAGAAAAATTGCTCCACAGCGCCACTTTCAAAATTTCAACAGAGTCTTGTCACAAGCACATATGACCTACAGCTACGCAATT